TGCATCAATAGGTACACTATTTTAAAACTAGACCAGGCTGAGCTGGAAAAAACCCCACAAACCTACTATTTAAAATAAAAAAACAATATCGTCATCAATGACCAGATTCTCTCATGACTTGAAAGATGCAGTTTAACTTTCTTTTTCAAAACCACATGAAAGCTAAAATACTGCTGCCTCATAAATGTCAGAAAGTGTTAGGAAAGGGGATAATTGTTTCAGTTTTGTTTTTTTTTTTTTTTTTAATAAAAGCTAGGATTCTTCCAGTAGCATATATGGATCATTTAAAAAAACATCAGATTTCAAAAGTATATAAATATTGTGCAGACCTATCCAATAAATACTCAATGACTACAGTACTAATTGGCATAAAGCAGCTAACACAGCCTCGCCACATCTCTACAACTCCCCTATTCCATCTAGTTAACCCCAGCTGGTATTTGGTAGTATTTGGTTCAGCCCACTCAGTGATTGGTAGCAGCAGATATGGGAGTGATAGTAATAAAAATCCACTTGTGGTCTTACAAGGAAAACAGTTCTTTGATACTTCCACTGAAAGATTATTAAGGTACCTAAACTGAACCCTGCATGTACAGAAAATCTGAGGTTTAGACTGATCAAGGAAAGTTGTGTCTAAATGAAACAGTCATGGTAGAGTTTAAGTTACAGCTTCCATGAAAGCAGTGAGTTCATTGTCACCAGTAACAAGCAAGAATAGCTTTTATTCAAAGTCTTTTGTGTGGGTTTATGCTCTCCCTTCTCACGTATATACATTATTTAATAAGAAATGGAGACAGATTTAAAATTGTCAAACCCATACAAGGATTCTAGAGACACTCATAACCCAACAATTATTTTGTAGCTGGGCCTCATTTATCACTTTTAGTTGTGCAAGCCTGAGCCCTAACCAGCCATGGTAGATAATGCTTCCATGCAGCAAAATTCATTAACATTTCTATCTTTGCTAAATAAATATTCCACTTTTTCCTTCTTCAAACCTTTTTTAGGTTTGTATTTATCATCCATCATCTGCATTTACTGAATTGTGACAGATTGCAAAAATCCCCAGGAGGGATTCAATCCATTTTATTAGCTTTGCATTTTGTGAAGTTTTCTGTCTAGCAAACTTCAGAGGACTGCCTAAGAAATAAAGTAGTTGGAACTACTTACAGTTTGATAGCAGTAATGTAAAGATGGTGAGAGATTAATCTATCTTAATAACACCCTGGTTATGATACACTTCTGGGAACAGACAGAGCTGCTAAGAGAAGCTGGCAGTGATGGAAAGACCCCACCCTGTTAGTCTGGATGATGAGGTTATTCAGCATGACGTCCATAGGAGGGAGACCAGGCACATCCCCTCATTGTCAGAGCAGCTGCTGCAACTTGTGGCTTTATTTGCAGCATTCAGGACACTGTGATTGACTAAAGGCATAATATGGAGTGGCAGAATACCAGCACCAATTACCTCTGTCAGCTGAACTCACTGACTGTAAGTGGCACCACAAAGTTCAGTGAGGGAGGGCGTGCAGTAAATACCCACTCACAGCTGTAGGAAGGAATTTAGTTAACATATTCTCACAGGCACAATGGGAGCTTCAAATTTTTTTAGGAAGTCCTCCCACTGTGTTATGAAGTGCAGAAAAAATCTCCTTGCTTTCTAAACTCCCAGAGGAGAGTCTAGGTGAAGCTGGATCCAGTCTCAGCTCCAGATTTTGTCAACTGTTGGAGCCCAAAGGATTAAGAATGTCTAATTGAGCCTCTGTACTCTGCCGGATCAGTCTGTGTCTTACAAATGGGATGGGACCCTGACTGGTTGCAGACAGGATTTATTATGTCTGTATCATACAAGCAAAAAGCAAGAGACACAGAGAAACAGCAACACCTATGCAAGGACAGATCAGAGACAAGATGGCAGCTTATGCAAAGCCTTTTCTACATATTCTTTGAACTAATAGCATAAAAGAAAAGGTGTAAACTCATTATACTCTAACTAATTCGGAAAGGACCCACGTGGGTTTAACTTTAACAAAAGGACTTCTATGAATCTTAAGCAATACACAATAATTTGTTATTTAAGATGGAAACTTTTTCTGTCTTTGCAAAGCATATATCTAGGACTTTTCACATCTCGAACTATCAATAAGTTCTTGTTCTTTCTTGTTCCTTATGATAAATATAAAAGGACTCACCTGGTTCTGAATTTCTTAGCTTCCCATAAGAAGGTTTTGAAATTTTCCTGCCTTTCTCAGCTTTATGTCTGCTTTCTGGGGCCTTTTTATATTTTATTTTACCTTTTTATATTCCTACAATTCCCCCTCTCTTTTTCAACCTCAAACAAACTATCTTTAACTCATCACTTATTTACTACTTTCTGTTACATATTTTCACTACTGTATATATTTCTTACCTTAGGAAAAAATGTTATAAACTTTCAATTTGAAGGCACTTTTTTTTGTTTGCTTTAAATTCTATCACTTTAAGTTAAAGTATTGTCAATGTTGTGTAAAGTCAGGGTTAGTATCTGCATCAGGTTATGACCTTTTTATATTCCTACACTATACAACTGTCCCTCCATTATGGATGACAAACTAGCTATATTTATACAAATATAAATGATTTATAATCATAATAATTAGACTAACAGACCTTAATCAGAAATCTTTACTACACAGGATATGAGGTATAACTACTGGCAGTGCATTATGGACCAATATTGAAGCAACTATATTAAGACATTTATATCAAAGCTAGAATAAAAAAAAAAAATAGAGATTGATGTTACTTACAGATACTGACAACACTGGGCAAGTCTTTTTCGCTCAGTCTTGAGCAGTAACCTTGAGGGGCATCCTCACTCAAAGAAGGAATTTCCACATCAGTCCACAAAAGGGTGTTAGAAGATCCTGCCATTAAAACGTGTGGCTGAGCTTTTATAGTATAAAGTGTTTGACTGTCAGATGTCTCCAGACCAGCTATGTCAGCTCAGCAGCTTTAGATAAGTTATTGGTAGTGTGACTTGTTTGCTCCTTTGTTGTATACATTACCAAGTCAATTACATCTCCACCTCACTATGAGGATGTTTAATTTGGGATTGATGAGTCAGGCTGGTTTCAGTATTATTCAACACCAAAAGCAGCATGATGCCCCCTTCTCCACCCACCACTGGTAGCTTTGCAATTCAGCTTTGTTTGAGTTATTTTATAACATTCCAGGCAGAGCATCCTGCTATACATATTTCATTAAAATTCTTTTATTGATGCTAGTATCTAAGACAGTGTCTATGTCTTGCCTAAAATACGACAGGTATAGAAATGTGTTGTACTGATCTTAGCAGAATATCAAAATACTTACATAAATAAAGGATATTTTCACCCTGTAAATAAAATAACTCATTAAACAATAAACATTCTTTTTTTCTTGTTCTAACTTTTTCAAGTCCTGATAAATATTCATCTATAATGGGGAACACCTGTTGTTCTACTACCTTGCACTTGCTGGGACCATTTGTATCTCTATGATACAAATAGAAGTGCAATGGTGCAATGTTTGTGTAGATCAGGTACATTTTACCCTTGTCATCTGGAAGTACATTAGTCTCTCTTGGTACAGACACTCTCCTGGATAAAATGGTATTCTTATGGTCAAAAGTATGGAAATGAGACTCTAAAGCAGGTTCCACATAGTTTAGAAAATTTCCTTATACATGAATAAAGCCTGACTAGCATTTGACTACATAAAATAACTCCCCTTTTTGTGATGTGACTTTTAAAACAAGATGCACATATTGAGTCAGCCCTATTTTTGAAATGAATGCTTGCCATAAAGGAGTATTCTGACTGGCTAGGAAATGCATTTGTGCAAGTTTAACTTTTGTTATGGAAATAGAAGTACTGTCTATGATCCCTTTTGTCTGGAAGGCATAAAGACATTTGGATCCAGTTAAGGAATATTCACTGCTCTAATGATGCATAGATAATAAGATAATTGCCTACCTTTACATAGATTCAAAAATGAATTAGAAACAGTTGACAGGTATGAACGTGCCAACCAAAATAATTTTTGCCAGCAGCCATATGCATGCCTCAAATGCTAAAACATGAGGATCTTAGAAGCAAAAACTGTTGCTACAAACAAGTGTTTGTACTTTGTTTAATTACCATTTTTTATTTTTATTTTTCTGTGGGGTTTTTTTGGTTGGATGGTTGATTTTGAGGTTTTATTAATGCAGCAGCAGGTGCCTTATGGCAGGAGTTGACATGCAGATATAGGAGTTTGCTTCAGCTGGTATCTCCAAAGTGCCAAGCTTTCTAATATTATTCATAGTATCATGATAATATTGTTAAAAGTTAATTACTACTGTTGCTTGCTTAATTGAATATACATGTATTTATATATTTATATAGTTGGGAAGGTTAATCATAAGTGAGTGAGTTTGGTTTTGGCTTTTCATGCAGTTTCTCACTTCTAAGAATGAATCTTTCTAAGATAACTTCTTCTGAAAGGTTAGGCCAGCTTAGTTCCTACTTTTCTCGCACCAGCCACAATGCCTTCCTGGAGCAGGCTTTCCCATGAGTTGGATCAAACTAACACTTAAGATTCTGATGCTCAGATCCAGCCAAAATCCCATAAAGTCAATATCACTCATAAACCTTTATGGAATGGCTCCGTTAACTTAGGCAACTCATCTTCACTGCAGCAATGATAATGAAGCACTCTTTCTGAGCCTCTGCTCTGATTAAATAACATTTTAACAATTCTTAAACTGGAGTGAGCTCTTACAAAATGGTTAAAGGTCACTTTTATTTTTCTCTACACTGGTAATGTGCATATATACTTACACTGTCAGCTGTTATTCCTGACAATGACAACAGATGAATAAAGAATAGACATTTGCAAAATATGGCAAAACTACAGCATACTATAAATGTTAATAGCTTTATTCATTTCAGATCTGGAATGTGACAAAATGACTCATGCTGGAGAACAGACTTCCTGGATCACAATGCGAGGTAGGAAATGAAATTAGAGATGGTTAACAGAAAGCATTCCAGCTCAGCATCCCACACCCACTCTTCAAACATTTGTCCAAAATGTGTCCCTCTCCTGAGGTTTGGAAGAACATCTATAATATTAATATTGTCTTTCCCTCTCTCAACTCTACATTTTTACCTGGTGATGGAGGTCTGAATTACCCCTTCTGTTTCTCATGATAATGAATGAATGAAAACAAGAGCAACAGAAATCCATCCTAAATGTTGCTCTTGTGGAATTTCCTTGCACATTTTTGATCCAATAAGATAATAGTTTGGGAAATGCTGTTCGGAACAGAAGCAAAACGAATGCTAAACAGACACAAAGTAAATGTGTTTTGGCATGGAAATTGATCTCTCTCTGAATCTGCTAGTGTCATCATCTAATGGAATAAATTAGACCCTTTATTTGTTATATGTCATCATATACTTCTATTTATACTAATAATATGGAATAAAATAGAACTATATAATTAAATAAGTGTATAATTAGTTAAATGAAAATTCTTAATCTTATAGAAATATTTCTTTACTGTTATTACCATTGGGATCTTCTAACACTGATTTCTTTTTTTTCATTCCAGTTTAGCATTTAAGGACTTTGAAGGATAAAACTCCCTCATGGAATTAAAAATGTGAGTTTTTCTCTTCCTTACTGGTAACTCAAATTGTTTTTTGAATGTAAAAGATGTCTCCATGAAGTCTCTTTACCTGAAAAAGTTTAGTTTTCATGTTCCTTTTCTGCTGATCACTGTCATTATTTAAGTATCTTATAATATAGTAATAATCAAAACCAGATAACATAAACTTGGTTAAATGTTTGTCACTCATCACACATAGAGCATGGAAAATTCCTTTGAAATATTTTTAGGGGGAGGTTTAGCCACAGAGTTAATTATAGGAAGATGTGTTGTTATAGAAGGGATTTACAACTAATCTTGAATAACTGAATCATTACTTTATTAATAATTAATGTTTTTCAATAAAAGAATAAAAAATAATAAAAAATTAAATAAATAGAAAGTTTAAAAAATAAAAGGCAAGGAACTGTATCTTTCTCCAAAGATATAGAGAGCTATAAAGGGCATAAAAGATGTGAGTTAGTACCATACCAGACAGATAGGAAAATAAACACAATATATAGGTCAGTTTGGCACTGTAAACCATTAGAGGAACATTTCCTGAACAAGTACAGCAGACCATCAAAGTGAGGTCTCTCCAGGGTGTCAAAAAGCAGAATTCAATGAAACAGACTTACTAATTATTACAAAGCAGAAAAAATATCCATATTCATAGGCCATAAAATACCAGGCACAGATGTATTGCTTTACAGAAATATTTTATTGCTTATCCCAATGCTTTTGAGGAAAAAAAAAAACTATAATACAACGATTCATAATAATAAAAAAGTCTATTTTTCTTTCATTATATATATATATATATTTAAATAATCTTGTGCCCTTAAAAATTTTGTGGAGGTACTTCTAGGTTATTCTGGGATACTGGAATTCCCACAAAATGGCTACTACAGTCTCTTGCCTCAGGCCAGGATAGCCATCTCACAATCAGCTGAGGTGCCACACTGGTGATTTTAGAGAGCAGAACTTCCACTACCTCTTGCTTGATCCTGGCTATGTTGAGTTAAAGCAGCCCATTACATCAGCACAATGCAGAAGTTTTGTATACTGCAGCAGTTTTTCATGCCCTACTACAAAGTAGTGAAGTTGGAGATTTTCAAGACCTGATAAGCAGTGTGTCATAGAGGAATGTACATGCTCCAGCAAAAGGCAGTGGGAAGGATTTTAAATTGCATGAATAAGTAGTTCATTTCTACCTGTTCAAAAAGAGAGAATGTGTTCTCTAACAACTAATCTCTGATTTATTTCAATAGAATCCTTTTGAAGGATGTCAGCTTAATTACTTAGGCAAAGGAAAGACACTAAAGATTTATCAGTATGAAGGTCCTTTAATATTAAAGTTTGACAACACAAGGTGCTGAAGGAAGTGATTTGGGCACAGTCACATATAAATACATAAAGAGAATAACACTGCAAGCTGTAGCAATTTTTCTGCTAAATAAAACTTTGTTAACTTGGGTTAGAATATGACTCATGCAGTGTCAAGAACAGATAAGAAAGTAGAGCTTATAAAAATAAAGGTAAAGCAAAGGAATATATAAATATTAACAGTTTGTCATATTTAGATGTGGTTGGAATATTATTATTGTTTGAGACGGGACTTAAGACCATTATTGGTTTGGGGTTTTTAGTCAAATTTTGGATTAGCTCAGTGATATTTAGACTTACTACAGTGGTATGCTATATAATAATGTGTCCATTAACAGCTCTACCATAACAGTTGTATATCACTGTCTGTCAAAAGTATATATTAAGAGTGGGAACCACCTTACTTTAGTTTGAAATTTAAATTCCTAGATTAGTCAGTCATGCAGGCTCCTTCTGTAGTCAATAGGCAGAGGGTGATTCATCCCACACTAATACAGGGTTGGTTGAATCATCTCCCAAAGATGCCTCTCTCTCCAAGAGCTGTACTTTTCCTACCAAGAAACAAAAAAAATAACCATGTGGCCTCTGTTTTCAGTTATAACCAATCAATGTAGCTGAAATTTCAAACAGAGGTTGATGGAAGAAATTTCTCCTCAGAGCCTGCAGACTGAAGGGTTTTCGTGTGAACTGCCTGGCGAATAATATCAAATAGCAAAAGCATTGGGGAGGCTTGTTGGCAGATCATTAACCAGTTGCAAACAGAAGGGATTTTGTTGAGCCATATGCAAAACTAGAGTGCTATATCATTTTAAAAAACGACTGCCATCGATTGTTGCATAAAATAAAACTGCAGCTTGTGCTTTCTTAGCTCTGCCACAGCGGCTTTAATTGGGGTTTGGAGGGGAGAGCGGCTGCCTGCCAGTGCTCTATGCAATCATCCAGCTGTTCAGACAGTTAAAGACCTTAAGATGTTATAGAAAAAGAGCTGGCAGACACTCAGTCTGCCTTCTAGAGACCAGGGAGCATCCTAGCAAGCTATTTAAGACTTTATTTAATATGGCAATCATTAACAGTCAGAGATAAAAGGCAAAAGCACCATGTAATTGATTTGCTAGAAATGCACAAGTTTATACGTATTAAGGTGCTTCACTATGCATGCTATTGCCTTCATCTAACAGTACCTTTTACATTTTAATTTGATTAAACTACCAAAAAAACCCCCTGAATTTATAAATATCTATTTGATATTGACAGCACAGGATGCTGAGAGATGAATTTTATATTGAGGCAATTATTGCACAAACAAGCAATGGATCTCAAGCTTTGAAAGTCATGGCCCTTCATCCATAGAACTTGATGCTCTGGCTCCTGATGAGCTGTTCTTTCATCAAAAGGATCAGTTCCTTGGAGAAAGAAACAATTTAAGGAATGTGTTATGAAGACTTTATATACAGTTATATCAAGACTAGAAAAAAAATCAAATAAATAACAAATCAGAAGTGTTTTTGCTGCCATCCCTGCAGTTCATATACAATGTAAGAAAATACGGTCAACTTTAAAAAGAAAAACTGCTTAAGAAATACACTTATAGTGCCACAAGTAAGGGGTTTTTTTAATCTATTGATTACACTTTGATCTAAATTGCTTACTGGCATTATCATTAATTCCTGTGGGCTATGTTACTGCAAATAATGGTTGAACTGTACCTTGCATTGCTCTGTGAGTAATGGCAGGTAACTATTGCTATAGAAAGATCTGAATAGAATTAAATTTACCTAATTTTTTTTTTTTTTTTTACATACTGAATGACAAGTATGGTCTGAAAGAGAGTGACCATGGTTTCAGTAGCTAACCTCACTTCAAAGAGCTATTTTGAACTGTTTACTATTATTTTTATACATATTATATTTTTGGGGTAGCTTGTTGATATTTTGCATTAGGCTCATACCTGAGACCTTACAAACAGTCATGAGACTACTCAAGATGTGGCTCAATTAATAACAAAGCATATAAAAATATTTCATCTTTATCTTGTTATATCATCCACCACAACTAGAACTTCTTTCATACCCCTACTAATTTCAAATCTGGTTTACTCAAGCATTACTGATCTGTTCAGGAGAAGGGATTACTTTCTTTCTAGGAGCAAGCATGCTGAGCTGTGTTCTGATGAGCTGTATTTGCAACCTACAGAAAAAGTAAATCTGCTAAATCAAAGACAAAGATAAAAATGAATATAGGTTAAAATACACTATAATTGTGTTAACATGTCACTTAGCTTAGCAGTTGTTTCTTGATTTCCTGCTAGAAAAACATTGAAAAATCTAATTTTTTCTCAGGTGGAAGCTTGCCCCAGGAAGTAATTTTGAGAGAAATTTTGACAATTATACAGCACCACCTCCACTTCAACTGAGTTACTAATTGGTACTAATTGGATAATTAACACCTATTGCTCTTCAACAATAATACAAATAACTCAGTAGTAGCCCAAATCTGCAAGCACATCATTATTCTGGGGTCCCTGCTTGCCTGTGTTACCTCATTAGTAAGTAGGCTGCAAGGTTACACAATGGTAACATCATCCATCTTGTTTGCAAATACTCAAACATCTGCCAGTGCACAACAAATAGCAAATAAATCATAATAATGGCCCATATAAGTCCCAAGAGGTGTATACATAAGAAAATTTCTGGGAGTTTTCTTTTACACATCTGGTATTGTATAAAAATGGAGATTTGTGTGAAAGCAAGGGTGTGGGATTTGATGAGGATTTCAGAGTACCAAATTTCTTTATTCTCCACTGTAAATTAATGCAATATTTTCTGGAAATAAGTCATGTGGTTAAAGAAGGCCTGGATTAGTCTTTTAATAGGTCCCACATTATAAATAACTAGAGGTTTAAATGGCATTAAAAATACAGCTCCAGAATAGAACTGATCAGTGGATGAATGCTAGGCCTGTGCTGCCCAGGGGGTTTGCTGGGGGAGGTCCCTGTCCAGCTGCTAAAATTCATTTAAGAGTGCCTCAAGCATCACATAGACATGAGGTCATGTATGGATGCAGATCCTGGAGCCCAAGATGGGAAACACTATGGGGGGAAAAAAACCCAATCTCTCTACCCTCAGAAAATCACTGGATTTGTCTTTTAGTTTTGTACAGTTTTGATCACACTTTACACAGTGGAATGATTTTACCAATACTATTTACCAGAAACCTTAAGATAAAGGCTTAAATTCTGGTCCCTTTTTAATCAACAGAGCAAAGGAAAGATGTAGATTTGTTGTATCAACATATCAGTAGATTCTTTCCTTCCCTTTGGTAAACATGATTCAGCTTTTGATGTGCAGCTGCTGACTCGATGTAGATGGAAAAAAATTATGGATTCATGAATATGGAATTCCGGTTTCTTTAGGTTCCTTAATCAAATAAGGAACCTTCGTTTCAGCACTCAGCTCATTTATTACCTAACTCAACTTATGCTAAGTGGCATTGTTTGTTTCTATTTTAAAGCAACTAAACATGATGATCTGAGAAAGAATTTACTGGTGTGTAAAAAAAGAGCAATGCACAGCAGTGCTACTTCTCAGATTTCTGCAGTGCAGGGCAAAGTAGAAGTTGTCCTGAAATCA